TCCGGTGAAGGAGGAGAGAGAGGACGTTGGTTTTCTCAGGGACGAGTGCTCGTTGAGTGGCTATTTCAATCTGAGGGTGCCGTCGCCGTTGATACTCGACGAGATGAGGTGGAAAGAGGAAGATTTGGGTGATGGGGTTTATGATGATTTGAATTTGGGTGGTGAATTTGGGCAGGTTGATTTGGGTGGTGATTTTGACTGGGATGTTGACCAGTTTTTCGATGACCCAATTTCATTTTGATGTAATTAATTATGTAAATATATGACGTGGAGAATAATAATAATAATCCGACAAATGCCGGTTTTTGATATTTAAGCAGGGAATAATGTATAATGGAGTTGTGTATTGGTGCGCGAGACCATCTCCAACCGACAAATCCACGCTCAATGGTTTCACCTCCAACCGACAAATTCATGCTCAAATTCTTTCTGCAGTATTCTTTTTGTAGTAACTGTAACATCAAATAGTAATTCTTACTCGAACTCAAGTGTTGATACCCGCGATGCACAGGGTGGAATACAAAAAATATTTTTATTTAAATATTATAAAATTATTTCAGACAATATAAAAGTATATTTACTACAATATTCTATTAAATAATAATATAAAATTTATTCATTTACTATTACCGTTAATTTTTATTTTATATATTTTTTTGGTAGTTTTTTTTTTTCCGAAACGGCAGAGATAACTATATAAAACTCAAAAGGCGAACCAAGTTCGAATTACAACAAAACTACTCGAAAAGAAAAATAAAAATGAGAGACGCGCAACAAGCGGTCTAGAACCTCAACAAAGACTACTAGTCACTGACAGAAATAACAACAAACTAGAAAATAGATCACCTGCCACTGCTCAAAGAGCCTAGCAAGGAAAATAAAAGAGAGAGACTAAAACACAAAACCAACAAAATAACTAAACAATAGAAGAAGTAGCAGCCGAAGAGAACTCCATCCAGTCTGCAGAAGCCAATTTGACCAAGACGGGTTCCGGGATGCGAGTGTTTTGGAATATCCATAAGTTTCTGGACTTCCAAAGCCACCAAAGTATGTAGGTCGAGAGAAGAATACGAGCCTCAACAACTTCAGAATTGTCCAGAGAGCAGACATGATACCACCAAGTTTTGAAAGAGTCGGTACAACACAGTAAACCATCCCACTGAACTGGACTAAGTTTCCAGCAATTTACTGCCCTACTGCATGAGAAGAACAGGTGTTCTACTGTTTCAGCCGCTTCACCACACAAATTGCAAATAGTCTCCAAGTCTATTCCCCTCCTTCTCAGATTGGTAGTTACAGGAAGTGAGTCAGCAAGACACTTCCAGAGGAAGATCTTGATTTTACCTGGTAACTTAAGCTTCCAGTGTCTGAAAGAAATGGACTTTTGGAGGAGAGCTGAAGAACTGCTTTCTGGGGAGTCCAGCTTATGAATTTTAGAAGACAGCAGATGAGCATAAGTCTGAGAAACAGAAAATAAACCTTTCTTGTTCAAGCCCCAACTCTCTGGAAGGAGAGATAGAGGTAATTTTCAGGATAGCATTACAATCAACTTCATCAAACACCTGCTCTAACAACCATGCATTCCATTGAGTACCCTCATTGTTTAATAAATCCCTAACCCAAATCAAATGATCTCTTGCAATAGGAATGAGAGAAGGACAGGGTTTGATGTGATGTGGAATCCAGTTTAGATCAGTGATTTTAGTCTGCACACCACTTCTGATTTCAATGTTAAGACATTTAGCAAAGTAAGGGAGAACTTGCATCCAACAATTCCACATCCAAGAGCCATTGGAAGTTCTAGAAGCATGAACCAGAGAACAATTAGGGAAGTACCTTTCCTTTAGAATTCTGCTGACAAGAAGCTCTGGATTTGTGGCAATTCTCCAGAGTTGTTTACAGATCAAAGCTTTGTTGAAGAGTGGTAGATCAATGAAAGATAAGCCTCCATTTTCTTTGGGAAGAGAAAGATGGTTCTAACTCTTCCAATGGATTCCATGTGCCTGGTCAGGCCCAGACTTCCACCAGAATTTTGCACATAATCTTGTGATTTCAGAGCAAATGGAGATTGGCAAAGTGAAACAGGCCATTGTATAGACAGGAAGGGCTTGAATAATGGACTTGATAAGAACTTCCTTCCCTGAGGAGCTAAGCATCTGAGATTTCCAAGATGTGATCTTAGATTTAATTGAGTTCAACACATAATTAAAAACTTGCTTTTTTGATCTACCAATACCCAAAGGCAAGCCTAAGTATTTGGTTGATCTGTGAGAGACAATATTATTCAGAGCATTGCAAATTGATCTCCTTAGATGGGAAGATGTGTTTCTGCTGAAGAAAACTGCAGATTTCTGAAGATTAACTGTTTGGCCAGTAAATAATCTGTATTTCTCAAGAATGCTCATCAGAAAACCAGCTTGATCAGTACCAGCTTTAAGGAAGAACAGAGAATCATCAGCAAAAAGAATGTGAGATAACACAGGCCCATTTCTAGACAGTTTCAAGCCTTTGAGCATACCAGAAGTTATAGAATGTTGAATCAAGGCAGTGAGCAATTCAGTGACAATAAGAAAAAGGTAGGAGGATAAGGGATCCCCCTGCCTTATACCACGCGAGGGAAGGACAAAACCACTGATGCTGCCATTAATTTTGAAAGAAAATGAAGCAGTTGTAACACAGGTCATTATCAGCTTGACAAAATCATTGTGAAACCCCATCTGAATCATTAGTTTCTTTAAACAAATCCATTCTACTCGATCAAAAGCTTTAACAAGATCTAATTTGAGCGCCATAAAAGCATTAGGACTAGTAGAGTGTCTATTAAGGAAATGGAAAGCTTCTTGGTCAGTTATTATATTGTCAGTGATTTGTCTGCCCTCCAGAAAAGCAGCTTGAAGATCACTAATGCAGCAGGGTAAGCAAAACTTAAGTCTTTGAGCCAAAATTTTGGATATGAGCTTGTAGATAACAGTACAAAGACTTATTGGCCGGAATTGACTCAGATTATCAGGAGAGAAACACTTGGGAATCAGAGATAGCACTGTGTGGTTCCAGTATTTCAGAATAGTACCTGATTGGAAGAAGCTGAGTATTG